CTTCTATTTTACTACACAAGATACAATTCATGTCTGCCTTCATGTTATTACACATATTATGAAAAAGTTTATACTTTATTTCTTTCATTTTATGCAATTTCCAAAGATGGTGTGAACAATTATCACAACAGTGACCAATCGTCTTCATGTAGTGTAGACGTGTATTAGAAGTGGATATATATATATATATATATATATATATATATATATATATATATATATATATATATATATATATATATATGTTCAGGTTCATTTGAAACCATTCTAATTTTGTGAGACCGTAAGACCAAATCTAAAAATAATTTTAAAATGCAAAATAAATGGAAAAATCCAAAAAAAAAAAATTTAAATATTATTTTCGGAACTTGAATTAAATAAAAAAAATATAAAAAAATATTAAAAAAATAAAAAAAATTCCGTTTTTTCTTTTGAAAAATACGTGAAATATTCTAAATAGAATATTACACTGACATATATTCTAAAAAATAATTTTAAAATGCAAAATAAATGGAAAAATCTAAAAATTCTTTTTTTAAATATTATTTTCGGAACTTGAATTAACTAAAAACAATAAAAAAATCTATTTTTTTTTAAAATACGTGAAATATTCTAAATAGAATATTACACTGTACATATTCTAAAAATAATTTTAAAATGCAAAATAAATGGAAAAATCAAAAAATTCTTTTTTTAAATATTATTTTCGGAACATGAATTAACTAAAAAAAAATAAAAATAAAAAAAAATAAATAAAAAAAATGCGTCTCACGGTCTCACAAAATATAGGTGGTCTCAAATGAACCTAACCCTATATATATATATATATATATATATATATATATATATATATATATATATATATATATATATATATATATATATATATATATATATATATATATATATATATATATATATATATATATATATATTAGAAAAAGACAGATAAAAATCAATACGAACATTGATTACTATGAAGACATTATCTAAATAAAATAACAATAAGACGGATGCTTACAACATCTGTAGTGGTTTTGCTTATAAGATGGATAAACTGCATTCCTGCACCACCACCACCGAATCAACTCAATTTTTAAAAAGTTCACAAATCAAACAAAATAATTAGAAGGCTACAACAAAGAAGGAAAGGAAACAAATTTTGTAAGAGTTAAAAAGACCTAGATTTTGAATAAGAAATTTAGTATACGAACGAATGAGGAAGCAATTTGAGTATTCACAATCTCCAAAATCCTCCTTAATAAATCAAAACCTTTTTGTCACATATCATCTTCTCATTTATTTGGACACATGATATTTTTTACAATTTTTGAATTTTCTAATTTCTAGTTGTCAATTTATTAAATTAAAATTTCACATTTAATACGTAAGTTAATATATATAAGTAAAGTGTTTATTAGAAATGTTTATATATGGAATATATTCAATGTATTAAAGCCTTATTAATTTTAATAATTTAAAATTTTTCTTATTTTTCTTATAAATTTAAACTTCTCAAATTGTTAAAATTTCATATTTATTTTTTTAAAAAAATAAATTCATATAATATATGGGTCTCACACCTAGTTACCTATAAATGCAAAGCATGAAAACATGATTGGAAACTCAATTGAACAGACTCCCAATCTTCAAAATAATTAAAAAAAAAAAAAAAAAAAACCTCTAGCAATGCATTTGCTTATCGGATCGTTTCTAGAGAAAGAAAAAGAGGATGGGTATTCTATTTACCTAGAATATCAATTCTAGTTGGTTGATCACAAAAGACCACATTATAAATGAATGAGTATTCTATTTACCTAGAATATCAACTCTCATCACAATCCTTTATTCCCTACAAAACAAAAAAAAAAACTTTAAAATAAACCAAAGCACAACAATTAAACAAAAGAATCATTTTTAATAAATGAAAATAATTTTGCTATTTATCACTCTTTCATTAACTTTGACACATGTTATTTTTTGGTATTTTTAAATAATTTTTTTTCCATTTGTCACTTTCTCATTTTTTTTTTTATCTTTTTTTAATTAATACATCATATTTACACCTCAATTAATAATTGTCTTAATCTAAAATAATCAATAATTTACAATATTAGTACTTATATAGTATTTAATATGTTTCCTTTTAAATTTAAATTTTAAATTTTAAATTTCAAATTTAAATAATATTTGTTTAAACTTTCATATTTAATCTTTTGTTTTATGAAACTCGTATAACATACGAGTCTTAAACCTAGTAAAAAAATAAATATTGATAACATTCAATGTAGAACAACAATATAATTCACTAAATAAACAACATTTTTTTTCATCAATGATATAAATAAAAAGTCAAAATGTTAAACCGTAACTCACCCTGGCATTATATTGAACACCTAGTGGACAGAACTTGCAAGCCATATTTATTAAACTAATTCTTTAGCAGGATAATGCCTTCAACTGAATAGCCTTAAACTGAAATAGTATATCACCAAGTACTTATAGCATGTTCATGAATATTTAAAGTAAAAAAATGAAATGAATGTAATAGGCAAATCAAAAAAATTTAAGAGCTAAAATCATTTAAAAAAAAAATCAAAACCAACATAAACTAAACTTACTTTGAGTTTTACCAAGCTTCTAAAGCTTTCAAGACGGAATACACACATACACTTATACAAATCCATAAAAAGATTTAACAAAACTGAAAGAAAAAAAAAAAAAACAATGTTAAAGAGGAACTGATGCTTGCCAGTTTTGCTTCTCAAATGAATGTATTGCTCTTCAGCATTTAAGAAATTAATCAAGATGGATGGTAAGTTTAAAAGCTCACTCGTCGTATTTGATTTAGGCTCCGTTTAATAGTTTCTGTTTGGGAAAGTGTTGTTTTGTAAAGTGCTGTCTGAGAAAGTTTTCTGATTGGGAAAGAAACCATGTTGTTTGATTGTACATCTGATTGACTGTGCTGAATGATGAAAAAATAATAATTCAATAAAAAATAAATTTAAAAAATGTTATTTAAAAAAAATTAATAATCCAAGAAAGAAAAAAAGAGGAGGGGTTTGGTGCATAATTGTTTTTTCAGCCCATTCAGCCAGAAAGATATGATTTTGAGGCTTTCTAGGAAAAACATATCTTACCGGGAAAGACCCTATTTTTTGTGCAAATCAAACAGTCTTTCCGGTTCATTCAGCCAGAAAGATCTGTTTGGACCTGGAAAGATGCATATCAAACAGGACCTTAGTCTCGCTTCTTCCTTGATTCTCTGTATGTTCAATTACTATTCACATCAATATTAAAACCCTAGATAAATAGAAAGAGTTGAGATTTGGGGGTGAGAATTAGGGAATTCAAAACTAAATGCACATTAATGGTTTTGAAAATATCAATTAAATTAAAAGCATGAAGGGTATAAAGGTAAAACTACTTTTTCATGAAAACTAATGTGGAAGAGGCATATGGAAAAAAAGAAGTCCTATATTAAGATATGTAGGGGTAGATATATGAAGATTTTTTTTTTTTTTGACACAATGATTTGTAAAATTTCATTGTGGTGATTTTAAATTAATTTTTTTTCACATATGATTTTATGAGGTTTCCTATTTTATTAAATTTCATATAATATTTTTAATATAATAATAAATGGATAGCAATTTCATTAATGGATTTACTTCTAATTTTAAATAAAGTTTATGAGTTTCTTTTATTTATTTATTTTTTTAATTATTTGTTTCAATTTAAAAGATAAAAAAAAATATTTCAATTTTAATAATTTATTATTTTTTCTTATTCTCTATTAAATCCAAGGTTTTAAAATATTTAAACCTATATATATATATATATATATATATATATATATATATATATATATATATATATATATATATATAAATTAACCCTATAATACATAGGTCTTACAGCTAGTATGTGTATGTATATATATATATATAACTGAAAGAGTAAGAGGTTGTTTGTTTTTACAAAAACCTCTTCAGACCACTTTTTGTTGTGCGACACATTATACAGTTGCCATCTCACATCAATTAGTTTTTTGGAAGACTTCATGCTACAAAACCTTTGCGCGACTCATCACTTGACTTGTTCCTTCAAATATCTTCAACTTTCATTTTTTCCAAGTGATTTTTTTAGAGATTTGGTATAACTTGATTTTTTTAAAAAAACTTTGATTTACGGATTTGATACAATTTCATTTTATATTTTCCATAGTTTTTTAATACTTGATTTAAAAAAAAAAAAAAAAAAACTTTGATTTTTTTATTTTTTACGATTTCTTTTAATAATATTTTTAGTTTGCATCTTTTTCAACATGTGTGATTCTTTTACGAAATTTCTAGATACTGTTCGCAATATTTTTTTATGCTCTTTAAAAAAACTAAAAGCTTCTTTTACATTTTTCTAGAAATTTTATATTTTTGTTTTTTTAAATGTGCATTGTAATATTCTTTCAATTTTTAAGATTAGAATTATTAAAATTTGGGTGTTGAGAACTATTTCAATTTGTAAAATCAGTTTATTTAAAATTTAGTTTATTGCAGCAGCCTGCAAATGTTAAAAAAACCAAACAAGTTTCTTATTATAGGTTGTAACCGTTTGGTTCACCTCTTCTACTGCAAAGAGTTACAGGGGTGATCTACAGACTTCATAAATTTTCGCTTCAAAAAAACAAACATCACCAAAATGTATTTAAGGTATGTAATCCGACAAGAAAGCAGTTTGCTTTGGATTAGTATTAGGATATGTTTGAATCCCCTTTCCTTGGATTTTTTTAAAGCTTCACATTATAATATGGATATATACAATATTGAAGGAGTTAAATCAGAAAAAATCTTCTAGCTCAAGTTGTAAATTGTTTGCACCCGTGGAGGACGAGCGCAACTCCCCTCATTCTCTAAAGAAAGCATGTCAGCCCAAATCAACATATCTGTCCAATTGCATGTCATGTATTATGATGACCTAATGAACATGTCAAAATTAGATAAAGCTAGAATTTCTTTGGTTTCTTTGGTTTTTCTGTTAAAAAAATACAAAATTGCAAAAATGGTCCCTATGGTATGCATTTTTTGGGGGTTTTGGTCCAAACCACGAGTTTTTTGGTTTTGTGGTCCTTTTGGACTGGTTTGTTTGTGAGAATGGTCCCTATACTTAACATCCGTTAAAAAGAATCCATTAACCCCCTCATGTGCCTTGCACGTGAGGGTATTTCTATCTTTTTACTTACAGGGACCATTTTTGCATACAAATGTCAACGTTTCCTTCTACCTTTTATCTCTCATTTACAATCCCAAACACCTGTCAACTCCCCACCTCCCTCCTTCTTCCTTCTGCTCCATTAAACCTGCAAAAAAACATATTTTGTTATCCAAATAACCTAATCGAAGCAAAAGGAGACAAGGTTATACTTTAAAGTCGAAATGGTGTACCTAATGTGGCAGATCAGACCAAAAAATGAAGTTGTCGACGTATCATCCTTATATGGTAAGTTGCTCTGTTTTCTTAAACATTCCTATTTTTCATTTTACCCTTGATTTATACTAAATTCTGCCAAATTTTGACTTTGTTATCATGTACAATTTTGACTTGTAGCGGGTGCACCCACATGGTTTAGTATTAAGCTTCATCATGGTGGGAGGTTTACTAAGTTACTTGACATAAAGTATACTGGAGGTGAAGTGTGTTATGTTGATTATGTGGACATAGATGAGTTTTCTGTACATGAACTTGATGCCATAATGCTTGACCTAGATTACCCAGACCCACGGATGATTGAATTGACTGATGAATCCCCAGTGATATACTACCATTTCAGGATACCGAATGGTGACTTTCAATTTGGTCTTAGACCTTTAGGGAATGATCAGGATGTTATCAATCTTTCTAAATTTATTCAAAATAACAAGTTGATTGAGGTGTACACAGAACATGGGAAGACAAATCTACTCACATACTTCATGTCTCCAAATGCAAAGGGTAAAGTTATCATTGAGGAATTACCAGAAAATGATGATCAAGGGGCTAAATATGAGGCTGAAGTTCATGTAGAATCTCCATTGAGAAATATGAACCATGTCAATGATGAGCCAATTGGTGAGTACATGTCTTTGATTCTTTTTGGGAGTAAAACTGAGGCATTCTCTCCAAAGTATAGAAGGGGTAGATTTGGGAATTCAAAAAAAAAGGAAGGTTCTTGTAGCAAGAGTCTTAATTTAGAGGATATTGATGATTTAAAAGAGAAGGAAAACACTAATGAGGGTGTTAAGGAGGTTCATGAGGCTGCAACTGTTGTTGAAGGATGCTACAATCCATTTACTTCAAATATTGCTAATGTAGGGGATGAGATGATTAGGGTTCATGATATGACCATATTGATGGATGCTACAACACCCCACCTATTAGTGATGATGAACAATATAATGAGCTTTTTGATAACCTTATGGAAAATTTAATTGGAAGTGATGAGGATGTTGAAGAGTATGAAGGGGATGATGAATCTGAAGAGAATGATGAAGAGTATAAAAAGGATGAAGGTGATGATCATGATGGGAAACAATCAGAAAATGAAGATAAAGTGGATGACATAATGGATGAGGAGAACAATATAGAAGATGTTGATGTGGACATGGCGGACTTCTTTCTAAATGTTGAAAGTGATGTTGAAGGAGCATGTATTAATGATGGTCATGAACATGAAGATATGGAAGTGATCAACAATGAGGAGTTTGAATCATTGGATGAAGGATCAGACCAAGACAGAGAAAGAAGAGCTCTCATAAAAAATTTGGGAAAAGAAAAAAGGTGCAGCCTTGGGTCAGTACATATACAGTCATTCTCAGTGGGGCAAAAGTTTAAAAGTAAAAAAGAATTAAAGGAGTTAATTGATGTGCACGCACTAGAAACAAGAAGGAATCTATTCTTTAAAAAAAATGACAATCAAAGGCTTAGGGCACAGTGCAGAGGAGTTGTACCTGTCATCAATAAAGGTCAAGTGGGGACTTAACCTACCACTTCAAAAAGTAAGGGAAAAGAAGTAAATACACAAAAAGAAACATGTGGTTGGTATATACATACATCTAGGTCAAACCCCGAATCTGACTGGTTTATAAGGACCCTAAACCAAACTCATACATGCTTACAAACAAGAAAACTCAGAGCTTGTACTGCTTCTTTAATCTGCAAGAAAATCATAGATCAAGTTGAGGTAGATCCGAAGATTCCTTTGAGAGCCATACAAGATCACTTTCAAAAGACCTATCAGGTGGGTATTTCGATGGATAAGGTGTTTAGGGCAAAAGATATGGCACGAAAGCATGTAACTGGGGACTACACAAAACAGTTTGAGTTGTTGAGGGACTATGCTCTTGAACTTCAAGCTACAAACCCAAACACAACAGTCAAAATAGATGTGTGTCCTAATGGCAACCCTATATCCCCAACAAGGCAGTTTAGAAGGATTTATGTATGCTTGGGTCCACTGAAAAAAGGTTTCAAAGCATGTCTTAAAGACTTAGTAGGTTTGGATGGTGCCTTCATGAAAGGCCCATTCCCTGGTCAGGTTCTTACAGCAGTTGGTCTAGATTCCAACAATGGAATTTATCCCTTGGCCTATGCAATTGTTGAGTCTAAAAACACAGCTAGCTGGAAGTGGTTTTTAGAAAACCTTGGGGATGACTTGGAGCTTGGGAGCAACTCAAACTATACTTTCATAAGTGACAGGCAAAAGGTAAATTACAATTCATCAGTTGATCATTTAGATTGTGTTTTTTTACCAAGAAATTAATTCTAATTATTGTATGTTGAGTCATGTAGGGATTACAAATTGCAGTTGGTCAATTGTTTCCCAATGCTGAGCATAGGTATTGTTTTAGACATATTCATGACAATATGAGAAAGAAGTGGGGGCAAACTGAGTACAAGGACCATTTATGGAGGTGTGCATCAGCAACCACCATTCCTGAGTTTGAACATTTGATGAAAGAATTTAGTGAGTATGATAAGGAGGCATGTCAATGGTTGAAGCAGATTCATCATGTACATTGGGCAAGGAGTCATTTCTCAGGTAATTGTATATGTTTTCATATGGTAATGATTATGTGTTTCAGTTATTTATCAGCATTAATTGTATGTTATTGTAATGTGCAGGAAGAGTTGTTTCTGATGTGTTGATTTCAAACATGTGTGAAGTGTTTAATGGGAAGATAAAGAAAGGCAGGGACAAACTTGTAACTTCATGTTTAGAGTTCATTATGGAGTATCTAATGAAGAGGATATGCAATTTCATGATGGCAATGAAGAAGGCTAAAGGTCACTAACACCTACAGCAACAAACATCCTAGATGCAAGGAAAAAAGGTGCTTCACAATATATTGCTAGGTGGAATGGGGCAAACAAGTATCAAGTCACTGGAGCATTGCAAGATCAACATGTGGTGGATGTTAGGAACCAAACCTGTACTTGCAGAATGTGGGAATTAATGGGAATACCTTGCAGGTATGCAATTGCAACTCTGAATGAAATGAGCAAAGACCCTGAGGCTGAGCTTGACATTTACAAGTGGGTACACAAGGTGTATTGGCTAGAGACATGGCAAAAAGCTTATTCATTTAAGGTGGACCAATTAAGGGGAGACCCATGTGGCCTAAAAGTAATTGTCCAACAAAGCTAATCCCTCCTCCACATCGCACTCATGTGGGAAGGCCTAAGAAAAAAAGAAGACAAAGTGAGGGTGAAAGGTTAAGCAAAAGGCAGAAGGCAAGTCAAGGTGATGGAGTCAATGAGATGCAAGGAGAACATTCCCAAGGGCCAACAAATGATGGAGTGCAGAAGCTATCAAGGAAACATATCAGTGTTACTTGTAGCAAATGTAAGAATAAGGGACATAACTCTAGGACCTATAAAGGGCAAGGAGGGAATCAATCTAAGAAGTGACTATGGTTGTTTGTTGTGGTGCAATGACTATTTAGTTTCTTGTTGTTAAAAACTGTTTATTTTTGAAAACTTTAGTTATGGTTTGATGATGTGGTTATGTATGGTGCACAGACACTTGTATGCTTAACTTGGTAATGGTTTTTGGTTCCACTCATGTGGTTAATGGAATGTGCATTTTGGTCAATTTATGACATGTATTTTGGTAATGTACTTTTGTTACATTTTGGTTCTATTTATGTGCTTATATTTGACAATTGATACACATGTTGAACACATTTTCACACTTGCATATCATTTATATCATTAACAATATTGGAATTCATTACAAACATGATGAAGTCAAATTACAACAAAATTATACCATTTTTACCCTGCATCACTTGATCAACAAAAATCCCCACATTTGTCTAACCCTATCCCTTACATAGACCAAATACTAAAGATAACAATCACAAACATAAACCAACTTACACATAAATACATCTTCAGCTTGAAACCTTCATCCTTCAATGCATCACACCTTGCCTCCAACATGTTGTTCCTGCTCAAAAGTCCATTGCACTGTTCCTGTAACATGTTGATACTTCTTACCAGCCCATTACATCTTTCCTCCAACGTATTTATGTTTCTTAGAAGACCAGGTATGATGGTTTTACTCCTAGCACACATAGGCGGGTCAACCCACCCGATAAACCCACCAACAGAATCCTTAGTAGGGCAAGCATAAAACCTCCTGCCAGGATTCAGTGGTGTCCAAGATATTTTCACCAAAGCAAGCTTTCCACAAAAACAAACCACCATTGTTCGATTGCAAGTCAAGAAGGAGAAATGGAAGAAAATAGCCGTTGCGGAAGAACAGTTAAGAACGTTGGGGAAGAAGCTGGGAAAAGAAAACGATATATAAATGATGTTTTATTTTTCCATATGCAAAAATGGTCCCTATAAGTAAAAAGGATAGAAATACCCTCACGTGCAAGGCACATGAAGGGGTTAACGGATTCTTTTTAACGGATGTTAAGTACAAGGACCATCCTCACAAACAAACCAGTCCAAAAGGACCACAAAACCAAAAAACTCATGGTTTGGATCAAAACCCCAAAAAATTGCATACCATGGGGACCATTTTTGCAATTAAATCTTAAAAAAAAAAAATTTATGACTTAATTATTAATTTTTTATTTTTTATAAAATAATAAAAGTTAATTTTTGATTTTTTTCTAAACTAATAGAACTTTTACAAGATTTCCCAAAATTTCACTATTTATGTACCCTTCTAAAAATTGAATTTGGTTGTTCCTGGATAATGAGGGTGATTACATTGAAGAAAAGAATACAGGTTATCAAATCTCAAGTCTCAACGTTCGTTTAAACTCCTCTTCAAAAGAAAACCTTTTGAAACGTTACATTTTTTATGCAAAAAAGAAAACCTTTTGAAACGCTTTACATACCAACCCTCTTCAAAAATCTCCCTCCTTCCCCCTTTTGTGAGAAAAAACCCTAATCGCCATGAGCGAAGTCGATCGGATTTCTGTCTATGACGCTCTAGGAGGCGGCGCAGGTGTGTGCTTCTCTATCACTTTGCATCTGATCGCAAATTCATTCTTCCATTCTACTGCATGTTAAAATCAATCTTGAAAACGATTTAAATACATTACAGCTTTAGCATTTTCTTGATCAGATTAATTTCCGTTTTATTTCTCTCCTCTAATCTGATTGATTGATCGCGACATCTTTTTCGTTCTTGATGTCACTCTGTCAATTAAGTTGTTTATTGGTGTTGCAGTTGCGGATACATTGCTATGGAGGAAATGCTACGGAGGAGTTGTGATCTTAATTGGTTCAACAGTCGTGTGGCTCCTGTTTGAAAGAGCAGGATATAACTTCTTGGCAATACTCTCCAATTCTCTACTCCTTTTGGTTGTTATCCTCTTTTTCTGGGCAAAATCTGCGTCTCTTCTTAATAGGTGCGTGCATCCTTCTCTCAATTTCCATCGGACTCAATTTTACTGTTATTGCTGTACGTTTTTGGATCAGAAGTTGAATCAATCTTCAAATAACGATTGAAATTGTGCTTTGTAGCAATTAGATCAATCTACACAGATCATTACTTCTTCCTTCTCAGTATTAGGGCACACTTTCTAATTTCAGTACAATTTGATGATGTGTAGACCTCTGCCCCCAATCCCTAACCTGGACATATCAGAAGAATCGGCTCTCCTAGCTGCTGATGAGATGCGAGTGCGGATTAATAGTGCTTTATCAACCTTGCATGAAATTGCAGTTGATGGAAACTTGAGAACTATAATTTTGGTACAATTTCTTGAAATCTCCCTTACTCTTTCAAGAATTATCTTCTTAATAGCTTCTGTAATGTGGGTTAAAACTTTCAGGTTGCTTTTGGTTTATGGTTGATTTCCTTTATTGGTAGTTTGTTTAACTTTCTTACACTGATATACATTGGTAAGCTTTCTTTCCATATCCAATCATTTCTGCATTCCATCAAACAATATCCTGACACTATTTCTTGATTTCATCTCAGGAGTCCTTCTTACTTTCTCAGTCCCTATCCTATACGAAACATTCCAAGCTCAAGTAGATGAAAAGTTGATAATTGTACACAAGAACATGAGTGGGGTATTGAAGAAAGCTGATCTCATCTTACAAAAAGTTCCAATTTCCCCAAGGAAAGAAAAGAAGGCTGAATAATAGAATGAAGGTAAGCATACACCCCTAGTATGTGGAAGAATTGACAGACATATCACATATGCATACCATGGAATCATGAAAAAAGATGACACTTTGTTCTTGTTGATCTTGCTAATCATGGCTTCTTATTATAATAGGATGGAAGCTTTAGAGTTAGTTTTGTGAATTACTTGTGTGGGCATGTACTTTTGGTTATATTCTGCTATACATTGGAGACCTTTTAATGATAGGGAGGAGTTATGTGAAGTATTTGTTGAAAAAAAAAAATCATTTGGGGTATTGTTATGATTTTAATTGATATGAATTTGGTTCAAAGTAAAATCAATTATATATACTACCAAACTATAGAACGCAAATATAGGTAGTTTGATAAATACTTAATGCCTTAGATCATTTGGTTTTGGTATGAACTCACCTCATCTATATTGAACTTCATCAATGACTTTGATTGAGTATTATTTGGTGTATAATTTGGTTTTATGTTGAATTTATTCCTCTTTAAATACTAGGTGTAGCCAATATACCCTAGCAAATATATTATTAAAATAATATTTTTGGATAGAATAACTAGGTTGTAAGTATTTAGGATAAAAGAGTAACAAAGTATTAGAATTGTATGAAAAATATCATTGAATTTTTTTGTGTACACGTATTATTAACCAAGTATAGCTTTTGAACACGTATGACTATTAAATTTCATCTTATTTTAAAAAATGTCATTGCATTAAATTTCATCCTTTTCTTTTGGTAATTATTTCATTAATCTTATATAATTTGTTAAAAAAATTACCATTTTGAAAAATACAGATCCTTACATACATAAAAAGTAGGCATGAGCAAACGGACAAGAACCGAATTGGCCCGATGGTTCTAACGGTTCTGGTCCAGTTTTTGTTGGGTTTTCAATTTTGAAACCGATCTGATTTGACACGTTTCTTTGTGGGGCTTGTTACTCATTTAATTTTTTTAAACCAAATTAAGTGTTTTTATAGTTTAAACTTAACTACAAAACCTAAACTACGTGTTGGAAAAAGATTCAGGTCAAAAAAAGTTAAACTGAGTGAGTTATGCACATTTGAACAATAAAGTCAGATTACATTTAATTGTTGAAACATAAAATAAATAAATAAATAAATAAATAAATAATTTGACACCCTTCCTTGCGGGGCTTGTAATTCATTCAATTTTTAACTAAATCAATCGTTTTTATGGTTTAAACTTAACTATAAATCCTAATCTACATGTAGAAAAAAGATTCAGTCAAAAAAGTTAAATTGAGTGAGTTATGTACATTTGAACAATAAATTCAGATTACATTTAGAATCTGAAACATAAAAAAAAATTCTGATTTGACATCCTTCCTTGTGTGGCTTGTAACTCATTCAATTTTTAACCAAATCAAGCGTTTTTATAGTCTAAACTTAACTACAAATCATAATCTACATGTAGGAAAAAGATTCAGGTCAAAAATATTTAAATTGAGTGAGATATGCAACTTTCAAAATTTGAGTGAGTTATCTGATCCAGTTCCCGGTTTTGGGCCGGTTCGAACGATCGGTTCTTACAGGGTCCCGGTTTCAAAATTTGACGAAATTATAGTATCGGTCCCGACCTGACCGGTTCCATCAGGTTCCGGTTTCGGGACCGGTTCCCCGGTCCATATGCTCATTCCTAATAA